ACGGCCCTTGTGGTTTTGTTCATTAAGGTAGGGTAATGTTTAAGTAGATTAGGTTCAGTTCATGTTCGATTAGGTTAGGTTTGGTAAGATTCGGTTGTGTTTGGTAATATTCTGTTAGGCTAGGTAATGTTCGGTTATATTAGGTTTGCTTAGTTAATGTTAGGTTCAAGCTACACAAGCTTCACAAAGCTTCCTGGCAATTCGTTAGTAATGAATAAATATGATATGTTACGTTAGGCTGACCTGACCTAACCTAACCTAACCTAACCTAACCTAACCTAACCTAACCTAACTTAACCAAACCAAACCAAACCTAACCTAACCTAACCTAACCTAACCTAACCTAACCGAAGCTTGGATCGTCGACTTGATTTGGCGTCACCAGCTTTTTATTTTCGTCTAATTTCTTTATAAAAAGATACTTTTTCAGATTAAAATTATGTTTTTTCGTGTTGTACGTTCAGCACCAACATTATAATGAGTAAATATATCATATTTATTCATTACTAACGTATTGCCAGGAAGCTTTGTGAAGCTTGTGTAGCTTGTGGTAATTAGATGGACCAGTTAATTAAGTTCAGTTAGGCTAGTAATATTAAGTTTGGGTGTTTTAGAATAGCATTTTAAGTCTGTTGTGGCAACTTGAGAGGACGGGCTTGGTACATAAGGCATGACAAAAGTGGAGCAAGATATGGATGGATTACACATGAGGTATGACACATGAAGCATGGCACTGGAGGCATAACACATGTGATATGACACAGGTTAGTAATTTAACCTGTGATTAATTTAGTATTTTACAAGTACAGTAATTTTAACAGGTTAGTAATTTAACATTATTGAGGGGCCTGTCGGCTGAGTGGACAGCGATCAGGATTCATAGTCCTAAGGATCTGGGTTCGATCCCCGGCGGAGGCGGAAATAAATGGGCAGAGTTTCTTTCACACTGATGGCCCTATTCACCTAGCAGTAAATAGTCACCTGGAAGTTAGACAGCTGCTACCGGCTGCTTCCTGTGTGTGTGTGTATGTGAAAAAAATAATAATCAGTTGATTGACAGTTGAGAGGCAGGCCCAAAGAGCCAGAGCTTAATCCCCACAAGCACAACTAGGTGAGTACAAATAGTTAAGTACAGGGCGCAACAGATGAGGCATGACTCAAAAGACGTGACATGGAAGGCATGACACTGGAGGTATGCACCAGAGGCATGACACGGAATGCATGATATAAGTGGATCATGACACTTGGTGGGGGGCATGACACGGGATGCATGATACAAGGAGAGCATGTCAAGCTGCAGGAGGGAAGGCAGGCGGCCAGGAGAAGGTGGCACGCGCTGACACTGGAGGCATAACATGGGATGCATGACACAAGGAGAGCATGCCACGCTGCAGGAGGGGAGGCAGGCGGCCAGGACACAGTTTGAAGGTGGTGCACGCTGACACCGGAGGCATGGCCCCCTCCAGGAATAATGTTCGGAGTTTAAGTTGTCTCAACACAAATGCCAGAAGCCTAGTAACTAATTATGACTCATTATGTGCGTGTACTGAGGCTGCAAATCTAGACATGATTGGCATCAGTGAAACATGGGGCCGAGAGTGCATATAATAGAAGGACAATTCTATCTGCCAGGACACCACCCACCATTCAGAAAGGACAGAACAACAAGAGCAGGGGGCCGGGGGGGGTGATACTGTATGTCAAAGAGGACCTGGATGATACCAACTATGAGGAACTGAACACCATGGATTCCAAAAAGTCTGAATGGTGCAACACATTAACTTAGGATGGTAGTAAAATGACAATGGGAGTATGCTACAAGGCTAACATAGCAGCGGCAGGGAAAATTACAGATCTACTTAATGTGATCAATGCAGCATCTGAAACCCAAACCCTAATAATGGGGAACTTTAACCACGAGACCAAAGATTGGATCAACCTAACATCTCAAGCAGAAGGTGAACAATTTCTCGGCCTTGTGCAGGACTCCTTCCTCATACAACTGTGGTAGAGCCCACACGTGATAACAGTATACTAGATTTTGTGCTGACTACAGAAGAGGGTATGACTGATCAAATTCATGTGGGGGGAAAGCTAACCACTTCGTGCGACCACCATATTTTAAGACGGACTACGAATATAGAAACCCACATAAAGGTCAAAGATGACGAATTTCAAGATAACCAGCGAGGTGACTATCAAGGAATGAGAGAAGAACTGCAAGCCATCTCTTGGAAGGAGCTGATGGGCGAACATGGCATGGAAGCATCATAGCAAAATTTCAGGAGAGTCATCCCGGAACTCTTTCAAGAATATGTGTCGAAAAGAAGCAAGGCAAGAAAGGGAACTAGATGGATGACACAGGTCGTAAAACGAACATTGGTAAATATAAATAAACAAAAAATAATAGAGATATATATAAAACCACGATGTACGTCATTGATTAAGTTATACAAAAGGGCACTAAACTCGGTCACTCAGAAAATCAGATCAGTCAAAAGAAACGAAAGAAAAATTGCTCAAAACATAAAGAAAGATCCAAAATCGTTCTAGGTCTATATAAGAGATAAAACCAAAAGAAAGGACTCAGTTGGACCCTCAATAGATCAGATTAACTAAGCTATAATGGATGATACAAGGGCAGCAAACACACTAAATGATTATTTTACATCAATGTTCACACTTGAAAGGATGGATGACATCCCATCACCCACACAAATGTTTGAAGGAGGAGAGGAAAATGAATTTAGGGATATGCCTATAACATGCGAAATAATTAGAAAAACATTGACAAACTAAAAGATTCAAAAGCCACAGGTGTGGATGGAATCCAATCCAAAGTCTAGGAACTGGCAGAAGAACTATGCCAGCCGCTGAAACTACTTTTCATAAAATCTGTGGAACAAGGGGCAGTTCCCCTAGATTGGAAAAAAGTAAATATTATCCCTATTTAAAAAAAAGGCAGGAAGAGCTCAGCAAAAAATTACCGGTCGATCAGCTTGACATCACACATCTGCAAGCTCATGATGAGAATCCTCGCGAGAATCATTCACCATCTTTCAGTGAACAGCCTTGTACAATCGACACAACATGGATTTGTTAAAAACAGATCCTGCCTTACAAACTTGCTCACATTAATGGAAACGGTAAACAGCAGCTCAGACAAAGGCCTTCCGGTGGATGTATACTTGCTAAAGCTTTTGATAAGGTACCACATGAAAGACTCGAAAGGAAATTACAGACCCATGGAATAAATGGTAAAATATTAGAACAGATAAAACAATGGTTGAAGGAAAGAAAACAAAGGGTCGTGCTAAATGGAAACGAATCTGAATGGAAAAATGTGATAAGTGGGATGCCACAGGGGTCCATTTTGGGACCTACCCTTTTTGTTGTATATATATATCAATGACATGGATGAGAATAGTACAAACCACATCATCATATTTGTAGATGACACAAAGATTTATGGTAAAATGGGAAATGTTAACAATATTGAAGCCTTTCAAGGAGATCTACATGCACTCAACAAATGCTTAGGAGACTGGCAAATGCCTTTTAATATGGACAAATGCAAGACCATGCATGTGGGGCATAACAACCCACGCCACGACTTACCAAATTAATAGCATTATATTACAGCAGATTGATGAAGAAAGGGACCTGGAGTCAAGATTCTCCACTCATTAACAGTTGCACAACAGGTGGCTGCAGCTGTCAGAAAAGCTAACTTAACTCGTGGGATAATCAAGCATACTTTCGACTACAAGGAAATGAAAGTAATGGTTTAGCTGTATAACTCTCTGGTGTATTTGTATTATAATTTTTTTTACTGTATCCAAGTACAGTATAGAGATCTCATTTTCAGAAGGACATATCTGCTTTGGAGAAGGTGCAACACCAGGCAACAAAAGTCATTCCAGAGCTAAGTCTGGACTCGTTCCTTGTATCAGGAATGCTTGAAGACCACAAGGCTAACAACATTGCAAACCAGGCATGACAGGGCGGATATCACTAAGACTTTTAAAATGCTGAACAAGTTGGAGGATGTTGATCTGGATATTTTCTTTAGAAGGTCAGATGTAACACAAACACGAAGCAATGGCTTGAAACTTAACAAGCCACAATGTAGGACTGAGAACAAGATATGCTTTTTCACCCACATGGTTATTAACCTAAGGAGCCGCCTACCCGACGAAACCGTAACTGCCAAAGCTGTGCTGAATTTCAAATTATACCTGGAAAAGATCAAGGCAAATGGGGGGACCTTTGACAAGCCGCCGGCTACCTGTCCTCGTAGAGACCAATAGGGTTAGTTGCCCCTAGGTAAGTCAGGTGAATGACAAGGGATGTATGTCACGCTTCAGAAGGGGAGACAGGCAGCCATGACACAGTTTGAAGGTGGTGCACGCTGACACTGGAGGCATGACATGGGACGAGTAGACAGTTATCATCCCATGGGATGATAGCTGAGTGGACAGCGCGCGGGACTTGTAATCCTGTGACCCGGGTTCGATTCCCGGTGCCGGCAGAAACAAATGGGCAGCGTTTCTTTCACCCTGCTGCCCCTGTGACCTAGCAGTAAATAGGTACTTGGAAGTTAGACAGCTGTTACGGGCTACTTCCTGGGTGGGTGGGTGTATATATGTGTGAAAAAAATAATTAGTAGTTAGTAACAGTTGACTGATTGACAGTTGAGAGGCGGGCCGACAGAGCAGAGTTCAACTCTCAGAAGCACAACTAGGTGAATATAAGGAGAGCATGTCAAGCTGCAGGAGGGGAGGCAGGCGGCCAAGACACAGCTTGAAGGTGGTGCGCGCTGACACTGGAGGCATGACACTGGAGACATGACACAAGGAGAGCATGCCACTCTGCAGGAGGGGAGGCAGGCGGCCAGAACACAGTTTGAAGGTGGCGCGCGCGGTAAAAAAATTCGTCTGCTGCGCGGAGCGTGGCGGGAACGGGCGGGTGGCGCGCAGATGGCATTATGGGTAATCAGCTGCCATCTTCTCCTGCACAGTTGTGGACGGGCTTTATTTCAGTTAAGGTGCGCGTATCTGGTGTCATGATGATCACCTGAGGCGTCGTCGTCCCGCGTCCCGGTGCGTTCTTGAGATACCCCCGGTGATACCAGTGTCGTGCTCTTGTGCAGAAGTGTGAAATATGCAAATATTAATTATGTGCTTACCTGAAGGCGATTATGAGTGAGTTGGGAGCCTCGGGAGCGGGTTGTGATGTGTTATGTTGAGCCACAAGTTGAGGTTGTCGTGGTTGCTGTGACAGTGGGGGAGGGAGAGAGAAGTGTGGGGAGGAGCGGGCGTGTGTTGGAGCTGGGAGCCCCACCATCACCACCATTAATGCACCACACCAGCTGAGCAACCCCAGGTAACTATAGTACTAACCTGTCCGCCCTCACGCCCACCACCACCACCACTCACACTCCTTCCTCACCTCCCTATACTGTGGTCTACACCCTCAACACTCCATACACTTGTTACACTGCCTCTCACCTGGCCTGTCACTGCCACACATGTTGCCTCGCCACACATGACACTGCCACACATGTTGCCTCGTCTCACATGACACTGCCACACATGCTGCCTCGTCTCACATGACACTGCCACACATGCTGCCTCACCACACATGACACTGCCACACATGCTGCCTCGCCACACATGTTGCCTCGCCACACATGTTGCCTCGCCACACATGACACTGCCACACATGTTGCCTCGCCACACACGTCACTGTAACACATGTTGCCTCGCCACACATGTCACTGTAACACATGTTGCCTCGCCTCGCCTCACATGTCACTGCTACACATGTTGCCTCGCCTCACATGTCACTGTAACACATGTTGCCTCGTCTCACATGTCACTGTAACACATGTTGCCTCGCCTTACATGACACTGCCACACATGTTGCCTCGCCTCACATGTTGCCTCGTCTCACATGTCACTGCCACACATGCTCCCTCGCCCCACATGACGCTGCCACACATGTTGCCTCGCCTCACATGTCACTGCCACACATGCTGCCTCGCCACACATGACACTGCCACACATGCTGCCTCGCCACATATGACTGCCACACATGACTGCCACACATGCTGCCTCGCCACACATGACACTGCCACACATGCTGCCTCGCCACACATGACACTGCCACACATGCTGCCTCGCCACACATGACACTGCCACACATGCTGCCTCGCCACACATGACACTGCCACACATGACACTGCCACACATGCTGCCTCGCCACACATGACACTGTAACACATGTTGCCTCGCCTTACATGACACTGCCACACATGTTGCCTCGCCACACATGTCACTGCCACATGTTACCTCGTCTCACATGTCACTGCCACACATGCTGCCTCGCCCCACATGACACTGCCACACATGTTGCCTCGCCTCACATGTCACTGCCACACATGCTGCCTCGCCACACATGACACTGCCACACATGCTGCCTCGCCACACATGACACTGCCACACATGCTGCCTCGCCACACATGACACTGCCACACATGCTGCCTCGCCACACATGACACTGCCACACATGCTGCCTCGCCACACATGACACTGCCACACATGCTGCCTCGCCACACATGACACTGCCACACATGCTGCCTCGCCACACATGACACTGCCACACATGTTGCCTCGCCACACATGACTGCCACACATGCTGCCTCGCCACACATGACACTGCCACACATGCTGCCTCGCCACACATGACACTGCCACACATGCTGCCTCGCCACACATGCTGCCTCGCCACACATGACACTGCCACACATAACACTGCCACACATGCTGCCTCGCCACACATGACACTGCCACATGCTGCCTCGCCACACATGACACTGCCACACATGCTGCCTCGCCACACATGACACTGCCACACATGCTGCCTCGCCACACATGACACTGTAACACATGTTGCCTCGCCTTACATGACACTGCCACACATGTTGCCTCGCCACACATGTCACTGCCACATGTTACCTCGTCTCACATGTCACTGCCACACATGCTGCCTCGCCCCACATGACACTGCCACACATGTTGCCTCGCCTCACATGTCACTGCCACACATGCTGCCTCGCCACACATGACACTGCCACACATGCTGCCTCGCCACACATGACACTGCCACACATGCTGCCTCGCCACACATGACACTGCCACACATGCTGCCTCGCCACACATGACACTGCCACACATGCTGCCTCGCCACACATGACACTGCCACACATGCTGCCTCGCCACACATGACACTGCCACACATGCTGCCTCGCCACACATGACACTGCCACACATGCTGCCTCGCCACACATGACACTGCCACACATGCTGCCTCGCCACACATGACACTGCCACACATGCTGCCTCGCCACACATGCTGCCTCGCCACACATGACACTGCCACACATGACACTGCCACACATGCTGCCTCGCCACACATGACACTGCCACATGCTGCCTCGCCACACATGACACTGACACACATGCTGCCTCGCCACACATGACACTGTCACACATGCTGCCTCGCCACACATGACTGCCACACATGCTGCCTCGCCACACATGACACTGCCACACATGCTGCCTCGCCACACATGACACTGCCACACATGCTGCCTCGCCACACATGACACTGCCACACATGCTGCCTCGCCACACATGACACTGCCACACATGCTGCCTCGCCACACATGACACTGACACACATGCTGCCTCGCCACACATGACACTGACACACATGCTGCCTCGCCACACATGACACTGCCACACATGCTGCCTCGCCACACATGACACTGTCACACATGCTGCCTCGCCACACATGCTGCCTCGCCACACATGACACTGCCACACATGCTGCCTCGCCACACATGACACTGCCACACATGCTGCCTCGCCACACATGACACTGCCACACATGCTGCCTCGCCACACATGACACTGACACACATGCTGCCTCGCCACACATGACACTGACACACATGCTGCCTCGCCACACATGACACTGCCACACATGCTGCCTCGCCACACATGACACTGTCACACATGCTGCCTCGCCACACATGCTGCCTCGCCACACATGACACTGCCACACATGCTGCCTCGCCACACATGACACTGCCACACATGCTGCTTCGCCACACATGACACTGCCACACATGCTGCTTCGCCACACATGACACTGCCACACATGCTGCTTCGCCACACATGACACTGCCACACATGCTGCTTCGCCACACATGACACTGCCACACATGCTGCTTCGCCACACATGACACTGCCACACATGCTGTTTCGCCACACATGACACTGCCACACATGCTGCCTCGCCACACATGACACTGCCACACATGCTGCCTCGCCACACATGACACTGCCACACATGCTGCCTCGCCACACATGACACTGCCACACATGCTGCTTCGCCACACATGACACTGCCACACATGCTGCTTCGCCACACATGACACTGCCACACATGCTGCCTCGCCACACATGACACTGCCACACATGCTGCCTCGCCACACATGACACTGCCACACATGCTGCCTCGCCACACATGCTGCCTCGCCACACATGCTGCCTCGCCACACATGCTGCCTCGCCACACATGACACTGCCACACATGCTGCCTCGCCACACATGACACTGCCACACATGCTGCCTCGCCACACATGCCGCCTCGCCACACATGACACTGCCACACATGCCGCCTCGCCACACATGCCGCCTCGCCACACATGACACTGCCTCACATGCCGCCTCGCCACACATGACACTGCCACACATGCCGCCTCGCCACACATGACACTGCCACACATGCCGCCTCGCCACACATGACACTGCCACACATGCCGCCTCGCCACACATGACACTGCCACACATGCCGCCTCGCCACACATGACACTGCCACACATGACACTGCCACACATGACACTGCCACACATGCCGCCTCGCCACACATGCCGCCTCGCCACACATGACACTGCCACACATGCCGCCTCGCCACACATGACACTGCCACACATGCCGCCTCGCCACACATGCCGCCTCGCCACACATGACACTGCCACACATGCCGCCTCGCCACACATGACACTGCCACACATGCTGCCTCGCCACACATGGCACTGCCACACATGCTGCCTCGCCACACATGACACTGCCACACATGACACTACCACACATGACACTGCCACACATGACACTGCCACACATGCTGCCTCGCCACACATGACGCCTCGCCACACATGACACTGCCACACATGACGCCTCGCCAAACATGACACTGCCACACATGCTGCCTCGCCACACATGCTGCCTCGCCTCACCTGTCACTGCCACACATGTTGCCTCGCTATACATGTCACTGTCCCACGTTGCTTCACCATATCACTGCCACACATGTTGCCTCGCCTCACCTGTCACTGCCCCACATGTTGTCTCGCCATACATGTCACTGCCCCACATGTTGTCTCGCCATACATGTCACTGCCCCACATGTTGTCTCGCCATACATGTCACTGCCCCACATGTTGTCTCGCCATACATGTCACTGCCCCACATGTTGTCTCGCCATACATGTCACTGCCACTCATGTGGCCTAGCCTCACACGTCACTGCCACACATTTTGCCTCGCCTCACACGTCACTGTCTCACATGTTGCCTTGCCTCACACGTCACTGCCACATATGTTGCCTCGCCTCACTTGTCACTGTCCCACGTTGCTTCCCCATGTCACTGCCACACATGTGGCCTCGCCCTCACATGTCACTGCCACACATGTGGCCTCGCCCTCACATGTCACTGCCACACATGTGGCCTCGCCCTCACATGTCACTGCCACACATGTGGCCTCGCCCTCACATGTCACTGCCACACATGTGGCCTCGCCCTCACATGTCACTGCCACACATGTGGCCTCGCCCTCACATGTCACTGCCACACATGTGGCCTCGCCCTCACATGTCACTGCCACACATGTGGCCTCGCCCTCACATGTCACTGCCACACATGTGGCCTCGCCCTCACATGTCACTGCCACACATGTGGCCTCGCCCTCACATGTCACTGCCACACATGTGGCCTGGCCCTCACATGTCACTGCCACACTTGTGGCCTGGCCCTCACATGTCACTGCCACACATGTGGCCTGGCCCTCACATGTCACTGCCACACATGTGGTCTGGCCCTCACATGTCACTGCCACACATGTGGCCTGGCCCTCACATGTCACTGCCACACATGTGGCCTGGCCCTCACATGTCACTGCCACACATGTGGCCTGGCCCTCACATGTCACTGCCACACATGTGGCCTGGCCCTCACATGTCACTGCCACACATGTG